ATCAGAGGGAAGAAGTAGTCCCCTTCGTATTGTTTATCTTTGCTTTATCCCATCTGAAACTGAAACCCTCAAGCAAATTTACTTCCTAAATTTAACCCTTTAATAAACTAGCCTCTAACTCCACCTGGTGGAGATACAGAAACCTGTGGAAAAAAACCAATCCAAAGGAGGATAAAAAGGTACCACACCTATCTGAGTTCTCAAAAAGAAAAGACATATACTCAAAAAGCCAAATAGATGATCTCCTGGGATGTGTTTTAGCCACTCAAAGTCGCTGAGAAGAAATAGGTTGTAACGATCATTTGCCTGTTGCTCTTGGCTCCCATTTCTGCCCTTCTACGTTCCGCTATGTATTTTAAGAGTCCAGGGACCTGCATATCCCATTTTCCCAGTTACTTGCCAGCGAGCTTCTGGTTAGTTTCTACCCATGGGAAGTACTGACAGAAATCTGAAAGGCAGGAGTGGGGAAAGGGGATTTGCTTCCTGTTCTAGATTCTGTTGGCATTTTCCAGCAGCCAAGAGAGCCAGCACTCCATCCTCATCTTTCTGGCACCTGCAGTAAAGAGTCTCCTCACGTGCTGCGTATCAGCCTCTCAGCAGCCCCAGCACCTGTCTTAGGTGGTGCTTCATTTGTGGTTTCAACAGTGGCTCAGCCCTCCTCCATGATCTTGGGTCTGGTGAGACCATTGCCTTCATTTACTTCTTTAGAGGGGTTGCTGCAGCTCCCAGCAGCTACTTAGCATACAGTTACCTGAGTATAACCAATTCAAAGAGGCTAAATTAATGTTTTCCTATGTCCACCACCCAGATGTATCCAGAATCCAGTTTTTGGTCTTTAATACTATTATGGATTGAAGAGGAACAAGGTATCTTGGAGAGTAGGTCTTTCCAAGCCATAGAGAGGGAAGACAAAAGTCTATGTAAATCTGCTTTTGCCAAAAAAAAAATCTCATAATGACAGGACAGTGAATTAGTATTATTGTTCATTTTAAAATGTACATTATTCCTAGAATTTCAAAAACACAAAATTTCATAAAATTCATGGACTGAAGTTCTTATAACCAAACAAGGCAGATTCATTATTAGAAAGGGCTCATCCCAAGTAAGTGGCTCAGTTTTGCGTCACTTTGGACTGCTTGGGTTATGCAACTCTACTGAGAATCAACGTATCAAGAATGTAAACCCTAGACCTTGACAAGTCTGAGTATTCTTTTACTTTGATGTTTGGACAGAATATTTCCCACTTTAAGGAGGTATAAAAATCAGCATCTGGTAAAATTACTGTGGTATTGGGAGAGCAAAACAGAAGATTAAAAACAAGAATATAAATATAAAATGAAATCATTAATAATGTAGTTATGTGTTTTCATCATTACCTTTACAACTATTTTAATTTTACTGTAATATCTGTAATTGGTATGATATTTTATGTGTGGGTTTTCCACTCTTCAAATTGTTTAAAGCCTTTAAGAAAATTTCATATTTCATGTTTTGATTTCAACTAAATATTTAGAAGAGTAAAATTAAATATATTCATAATCATTTAAATATTTGAGATATTTTTAACTGAACTCTGTAAGTATTGATGGATTAGCCTTGTAAGTAGTATAAAATATTTAGAGAGATTGTGAGTGTTCAGTGTTTAAGTGAATGTTTATAACAAAATGGTTTTAAATTTAATGAATTAAGCATTAAACAAAATAAAAGGAAAAGGCTGCATTTTCCATTGTGGAGCTAAAGGACCTATTAACACCTTTGACTCTCTCTGTAAAACGTCACGCACTGACAGGAGGATGTATTATTCATTGGGGTTGGGGAAAGGATTTGTCAACACATTAGTTTCCCCCAGCACCAACACCATAGATACTTAATTATCAAAGACTAGGAGGCTAGTAGGCTCGTGACTTCAGCTGTATTTGGCTTTTCATCTAGCCACGCCTTTTAAATTTTATATTTTTACATTTTACCTATCGTTGTTATATATGTGAAGCAGATGGGGCATTACCGTCATGATTATCTAGTGCCATCTTGACTGAAAATCTCTCTTATTGGACTTTTAAAATTGAACTGGAAATATATACTTTTAAAGTATCCATCTCTCCTACTTAATCACAAACTCCTTTAAGCATCGTCCTTCTTTTTATATACAGACTCTGGCACATAGTAAAGTGTTCAATAAATATTTTTGAATAAATTATCGAGAGGGTAACATTTTGTGAATACTGGAAATGCTGGAAAGGGAAGACAGAAACTATTGCTCATGTATTATTGATGGGAAAGTAAATTGATGCAACTCTTTGTAACTGAAGTTAGCAATGTCTTATGAACATGTTCATAAGCTCTGACTGCCCTTATAGGAATCTGGCCTCAAGTAATAATGAAAAAGAAGCAAAACAACAACAACAAAATTGGAAACAACCTGCATGTCCATTTATGTGGAATTGGTTAAATAAATTATAGTTTATTCATTAGATACAAAATTAACCCTCTATTAAAAATATTTTAAAATATGATACAGTAATTTGAAAAGAAGATATTTATGGCATAAGCTTATTTTAAAGGCAGCATTTGGAACGATTATGACAACATTATAAAACACATGGATTAAAAATTGGAGGAAAATAACACCAAAATTGTAGCAGTGTTAATTCCATCCCCTTTCCACGTCTCAAATTATGTAAAGTATGGTTCTGTAAATTGCCCTTAAATTTACATCAGAATTTATTGCATTTTTTAAAATGTTATTTCCTCTAACTATATATTCAATTACAGGAATCAAACAATATACATTTTGAAAAATGTGATGTTTATTAATCTGGAAACAAACTCTGCTTTCAGTTTTTAGCTCACAGCAAGCACAAATTTCAAGGATCCTATTACTTTTGATATATCATATTTTTACAAGTTTTGTACATATGGTTAAATGTAAGTCGATGTGACAACAGCCTTTGGGAAAACAAAAAAGAAAGGGAAAAGAAATACTGAGTAGAAATCACAATGAAATAAGGCTCAGAGAGACTTAAAGACATTATGAAGCATTCCGGCCAGTGACAACCACCAACACGAGAGTGAGGCCATCTTGGACCTTCCAGCCTAGCCCAGCTACCACTTTCAAATCCTGACTACATTTGCAGTCATGCAGCAGTTTCCCTCTGGAGGAGGGTCCTTGCAGTACTTCACAATGTTAAACGTTCTTTTATGACCTTGATGGTAGAGATCATTTGACACAGCTTTAACAGTACTGGCAACTGAGATTCTTAACACAAACTCAACAGTCCAAGCAATTTCATGCTCCAAGGCCACCTCCCCTTGGGATGGGAGGCAGTGGAGATCACATCTTTTCCAGGGACCTAATTTTATCCATCATCCTGTTAGTCTAAATAGACAGGAGTAACTGAACGTTTCTGGGCACAAATACACCTAGAGAGGTTGTTAAAAGTATAGATTTTAGGGCTCCACTCAGCAGAGATTAAGATTGAAAAAATTAAAAGGTAGAGGTCAGAAATTTATATATTTAATGAGCATTTAAAGACCATTCCCATCCCTGCCAGTGGATCCAATGCATATGATGAGGCCCGTTTATCGTGAGTGGGCCTCATCCAATCAGTGGAAGGTCTGAGTACAAGAAAAGGGCTGACCCTCCTGCAAGTAATGGCAACTACACCTACCTGACTGCCTAGAGCTTGGATATCAGTTTTTCCTGCCTTCAGACTAGAACTGAAACATTGGCTCTTCCCGGGTCTCAAGCCTGCCAGCTATTAGACAGGAACTACACCATTGGCCCTCCTAGATCTCCAGCTTGCCGGCTAGAGATTTTGGGGACTGGTCAGCCTCCATAATCACATAAGCCAATTCCTTACAATAAGTGAATAAATACGTATGTGTATATAGATATAGATACACATACACACACACACACACACACACACACGCACCCCTTATCAGTTCTGTTCTGTTTCTCCAGAGAACACAGATTAATACATCAGGACACTTGGATACCAGACACCCAAAAGTGACAAATGTCCGCTACAATAAAACTTTTCACCATTTTGAACATATTCTTATCCATCTCAATTACACACCTCATTGAAGAGCTATGAATAGATTAGGATTTACCATTTAAGTATCTTTAAAGAACTCCATCTTTATCTCAATTGTAATGTTACTTGTTCCCTTTCAATTTTCTAACTTGTAATTTTTAATAAAATAAGACTAAAATACCATAGTTTTTTTCATTGTTTCATCCTCATGGTACCTGTATTGTCTGGGTCAAGTTAAATTGCTGGGTTGCAGGCAGCATGACAAACTGATGGCTTGCAATGCTCATTTTTCAAACTTATGAAATCCCACTATGAACATACTAAGGTCAATGACTTCTGATGCCCCAAGTCCTCCTTCATGAGGGAGTTAGTTAATTCCTCCTTCTCCGGCTGCAAACTGAGGCTGATAGAAACTGTTATGGAGGGGAGGGGGCAGGGGCATGGAGGGAAACTCTCTTCTCTCTCTCCCTAACTCTGCTCTTTTACCTGTAAGGCCTTCACTGCACAAATAAAAACATTATAACAAAGAAATGGGCATCATAAAGATCATTAGGATCAAAGCCAAAGTTGAATATCCTCACAATCACATGTTAATTGGAGAAGTCCAGGCCATGCGGAAGGCAGATATGAGCAGTTAACACATCTGAAGCAAGATTTGCTCATTAGAGGAAACCTCTGTAATCATAGAGCCTGTCATTCCAATAGCACAATATAATGGAATATAGCATTTATCAGAAAGCACTGATTAATATATTAAAGCAATTATTGCAATGAGAATGGTTCATTTTAATAAACATTAAAAAATAAGAACCAAATCACTGCTGATCAAATTATTTACTTCCCAGCACAGGCTACAGGAACTTAATATAGCTCAGTACAGCACAATTTATCTCTCAAACAAGTGGGAATCCTAACTCTTCTTCATTTCCAACACTGTATTTACAAAGGGGATCTACTTACCACTGCCGTGATGAAGTTCAGAAACGGAAATGCTAAACTTTCACTTCAGGATGGTATAAAAGACACACTCTTTCCCTCTCACGCCAAACCCCTAGAAGTAAAAAAACACATTTTAAAGGATATTCAGCCATGCTGAAAAACAAAAAAAAGAAATATAATAGATAGGAAGTTGTGACAAATCCTGGAAATACAAAAGACCAACAGGTTGGATTTACGAGGAAACTGATAACATAAGAGATGTGTGGGAAAGTTCTAGCAGAAATGGTGGGAACAGAACCCAGGGTATTCTGCACTGGTGTTTCAGTGTGGAAATTTCCCATATGTCTCAGAAATTTTAGAATCTCAAAAGAAAAATCAGTTGAGAAATCAAGGAAAAGAGAAAAACTAATTCTTCTGTGAGGCTAACAATCAACATGGAGGCATTACTGGTTCCAAGGAGTTCACTGATATCTCCTTGAAAGCAAGACATTTGTGACCTGAAGGTTAAAACCAGCGTTTCTGGGAACCTGGAGGAGAGAGGCAGGAATGATCTGATCATTTGTCATGTTGTAAAATGGGTGTGCATGGCCCCGTTTGCTGCTAACAGTGACTTATTCTTGCAAATAATATAAATGTCAGTGATTTTATCCTCATAGTATACATGCTTTAAACTAATTCTCTGAATGGTATGCTGAGAACTAACACATTTGGAAAGCAAACTAAGTCCTTAAATTAGCAGCTTCAACTGCTGATTCTATGCAATACTGTGGCCCTTGCTATCAGATTCTAATGTTATGTTACTCAATATTTTCTAGCATTTTCCAGAGTCTGAATATTTGCTGTAGGCCACAGTTCCTTGTAAATACCTTAAAAGAGAAAATACAAGGAGTAGAATATGTGAATATTATTGAGAATATACCCTTAGGAAATCAGAAACTGATCTAAAATCTGAATGAGCAAAAACAACAAAAACCTCAAAATTGTTTAAAAAGGAAATAAGCTTACGGAAAGCAATATGTATTCTAACACCCAGCTTGAAGATGGTTTTGGACAAGTGAACAAACGTCAATACAGAATGAAAGCAATTTTTGTCATGAAACAAAGATCAAGACCATTGGATAATGCTTTGAATCTTAAAATTCAAGAATTTTAACTTTTAAACATTAAATGTATATGGTATAATCCTTACATTTGAAATAATTTTTATTTGACATTTGTTTTGTTTTTATGTTCTCTTACTTCAGTGTATTCTATTATAAAATGTCAATATCAGGTAGAGATCATTCTATTAAAATATATAATTTTGTTCCAATATATTGTTTCATAATAATAAAGAAAACCTCTGAACTTTTAGTAAAACCCTGTGAGAAAAAAACGACTTTTGTTCATTATTATGGTCACTCACTACTAATTTAAAATATGCAAATAAAGAATTTTTTAGAAGTACATAATCACGTCATTTCAAGAATTCCTGAGAATTCTGATTCTTCATTCCAAAATCACAAGGATATTAATTTGTAAATGCTATAATAATCTAAACCCAGATATGGTGAAAGCCAGGAGGCAGATAGGACACAGGATTAGAGGTGGACAGGTCACTCATGGCCCCACCCTCCACATGCAGCAGTGCCTCAGGAGAAGAAGGGCCGCCACTAGATGGAAGCAGTGAGTACAAGCACTTTGCTCTGAGATGGGACCGTCCCAAAGAGAATTTGAGAGGACCCACACTCAGAAGCCTTTTAGACTTAGTTGCTTTGTAAACTATTAAGATATCGAAACTGTCAACTACCTTAATTTACTTATTCTGATTATCTTTTCACTTCATTTTGATTGTTTAGTAAGAAAATGTACTATGGTGGTCTCTTTTGTTTTCAAAGTAGGAAGCATGCCTTAACTAGAACAGTGTCTGGCATATAACTGGCACTCAATAAATAGATGTTAAAAAATTAATGAGTGACATTAATTAATGAGAGGAACAGAGGATGCTTTTATTTAGGACTGGCCATTTTTCCATAAGTCAAAATTATGCAAAACCAATCAAATTTCCTTTAAAGAAAATGTTGTAATTGAAGATTAGATTCTCTGCCATAACCCTAATATAAAATAACTACACACAACTTTTATCTTTTTGAACTTCAACCAACTGGAGAGTAAAGAATCGGCTTTAATAGGAAACTTTAAGTTTCTTCAGGGATATAAGGATTAGCTTAACAGAAGTTAATAGGAGATTGGTTCAAGATGGTTAAGTAGAAGGACGAGCGCTCACTCCCTCTTGCAAGAGCACCGGAATCACAACTAACTGCTGAACAATCATCAACAGGAAGACACTGGAACTCACGAAAAAAGATACCCCACATCCAAAGACAAAGGAGAAGCCACAATGAGATGGTAGGAGGGGCACAATCACGATAAAATCAAATCCCATAACTGCTGGGTGGGTGACTCACAAACTGGAGAACGCTTATACCACAGAAGTCCACCCACTGGAGTGAAGGTTCTGAGCCCCACGTCAGACGTCCCAACCTGGAGGTCCGGCAGTGAGAGGAGGAATTCCCAGAGAATCAGACTTTGAAGGCTAGCGGGATTTGATTGCAGGACTTCAACAGGACTGAGGAAAACAGAGACTCTACTCTTGGAGGGCACACACCAAGTAGTGTGCGCATCAGGACCCAGGGGGAGGGAGCAGTGACCCCACAGGAGACTGAATCAGACCTACCTGCTAGTGTTGGAGGGTCTCCTGCAGAGGTGGGGGGTGGCTGTGTCTCACCACGGGGACAAGGACACTGGCAGCAGAAGTTCTGGGAAGTACTCTTTGCTATGAACTCTCCCAGAGTCCATCACTAGTCCCACCAAAGAGCCTGTAGCCTCCAGTTCTGGGTTGCATCAGGCCAAACAACCAACAGAGAGGGAACTCAGCCCCACCCATCAGCAGACAAGCAGATTAAAGTTTAACTGAGTTCTGCCTAACAGAGCAACACTCAGCTCTACCCACCACCAATCCCTCCCATCAGGAAGCTTGCAAAACACTCTTAGATAGCCTCAGCACCAGAAGGCAGACAGCAGAAGCAAGAAAAACTACCATCTTGCAGTCTGTGGAACGAAAACCACGTTCACAGAAAGAAAGACAAAATGAAAAGGCAGAGGGCTATGTACCAGATGAAGGAACAAGATAAAAGGCCAGAAAAACAACTAAATAAAGTGCAGATAGCCAACCTCCAGGAAAAGAATTCAGAATACTGATAATGAAGATCATTGAGGACCTCAGAAAAAGAATGGAGGCAAAGATTGAGAAGATGCAAAAAATGTTTAACAAAGACCTAGAAAAATTAAAGAACAGAAGATGGCGGAAGAGTAAGACGCGGAGATCACCTTCCTCCCCACAGATACACCAGAAATACATCTACACGTGGAACAACTCCTACAGAACACCTACTGAACGCTGGCAGAAGACCTCAGACCTCCCAAAAGGCAAGAAACCCCCCACGTACCTGGGTAGGGCAAAAGAAAAAAGAATAAACGGAGACAGAAGGGTAGGGACGGCACCTCCACCTCAGGAAGGGAGCTGTGAAGGAGGAAGTTTCCACACACTAGGAAGGCCCTTCGCGGGCGGAGACTGCGGGTGGCGGGAGGGAAGCTTCGGGGCCGCGGAGGAGAGCACAGTAACAGGGGTGCGGGGGGCAAAGCGAAGAGATTCCCTCACAGAGGATCGGGGCCGACCGGCACTCACCAGCCCGAGACGCTTCTCTGCTCACCCGCCGGGGCGGGCGGGGCTGGGAGCTGAGGCTCGGGCTTCCGTCAGAGCGCAGGGAGAGGACTGGGGTTGGCTGCGTGAACACAGCCTGCAGGCGGTTGGTGCGCCGCGGCTAGCTGGGAGGGAGTCCGGGGAAAAGTCTGGACCTGCCCAAGAGGCAAGAGACTTTTTCTTACCTCTTTGTTTCCTGGTGCGCGAGGAGAGGGGATTAAGAGCACTGCTTAAAGGAGCTCCAGAGACGGGCGCGAGCCGCGGCTAAAAGCGCGGACCCCAGAGACGGGCATGAGACGCTAAGGCTGCTGCTGCCACCAGCAAGAAGCCTGTGTGTGAGCACAGGTCACTATCCACACCCCACTTCCGGGGAGCCTGTGCAGCCCGCCACCGCCAGGTTCCCGGGATCCAGGGACAACTTCCCCGGGAGAACGCACGGCGCGCCTCAGGCTGGAGCAACGTCATGCCGGCCTCTGCCGCCGCAGGCCCGCCCCGCACTCCGTGCCCCTCCCTCCCCACAGCCTGAGTGAGCCAGAGCCCCCGAATCAGCGGCTCCTTTAACCCCGTCCTGTCTGAGCGAAGAACAGACGCCCTCCGGCGACCTACACGCAGAGGCGGGGCCAAATCCAAAGCTGAGCCCTGGGAGCTGTGAGAACAAAGAAGAGAAAGGGAAATCTCTCCAGGCAGCCTCAGAAGCAGCGGATTAAAGGTCCACAATCAACTTGATGTACCCTGCATCAGTGGAATACCTGAATAGACAACGAATCATCCCAAATTGAGCAGGTGGACTTTGAGAGCAACATTTATGATTTTTGTCCCCTTTTCCTCTTTTTGTGAGTGTGTATGTGTATGCTTCTGTTTGAGATTTTGGCTGTATAGCTTTGCTTCCACCATTTGTCCTAGGATTCTGTCCATCCGTTTTTTTTTAAATCTTTTTTTCTTAATAATTATTCTTTATTTTAATAACTTTATTATATTTTATTTTACTTTATTTTTTTTACTTTATCTTTTCTTTCTCCCTCCCTCCTTCCTTCCCTTCCTCCCTCCCTTCTTTCTTTCTTTCTTCTACTAATTATTTCTTTCTACTTTTTCTCCCTTTTATTCTGAGCTGTGTGGATGAAAGGCTGTTGGTGCTGCAGCCAGGAGTCACTGCTGTGCCTCTGAGGTGGGAGAGCCAACTTCAGGACACTGGTCCACAAGAGACCTCCCAGCTCCAGATAATATCAAACGGCGAAAATCTCCCAGAGATCTCCATCTCAACACCAGCATCCAGCTTCACTCAACGACCAGCAAGCTACAGTGCTGGACATCCTATGCCAAACAACTAGCAAGACAGGAACACAACCCCACCCATTAGCAGAGAGGCTGCCTAAAATCATAATAACGCCACAGACACCCCAAAACACACCACCAGACGTAGACCTGCCCACCAGACGTGGACCTGCCCACCAGAAAGACAAGATCCAGCCTCATCCACCAGAACACAGGCACTAGTCCCCTCCACCAGGAAGCCTACACAACCCACTGAACCAACCTTAGCCACTGGGGACAGACACCAAAAACAATGGGAACTACGAACCTGCAGACTGCAAAAAGGAGACCCCAAACACAGTAAGATAAGCAAAATGAGAAGACAGAAAAACACACACCAGATGAAGGAGCAAAATAAAAACCCAGCAGACCTAACAAATGAAGAGAAAATAGGCAGTCTACCTGAAAAAGAATTCAGAATAATGATAGTAAAGATGATCCAAAATCTTGGAAATAGAATAGACAAAATGCAAGAAACATTTAACAAGGACCTAGAAGAACTAAAGAGGAAACAAGCAATGATGAGCAACACAATAAGTGAAATTAAAATTACTCTAGATGGGATCAATAGCAGAATAACTGAGGCAGAAGAACGGATAAGTGACCTGGAAGATAAAATAGTGGAAATAACTACTGCAGAGCACAATAAAGAAAAAAGAATGAAGAGAACTGAGGACAGTCTCAGAGACCTCTGGGACAACATTAAATGCACCAACATTTAAACTATAGGGGTTCATGAAGAAGAAGAGAAAAAGAAAGGGACTGAGAAAATATTTGAAGAGATTATAGTTGAACACTTCCCTAATATGGGAAAGGAAATAGTTAATCAAGTCCAGGAAGCACAGAGAGTCCCATACAGGATAAATCCAACGTGAAATATGCCAAGACACATATTAATCAAACTGTCAAAACTTAAATACAAAGAAAGCATATTAAAAGCAGCAAGGGAAAAACAACAAATAACATACAAGGGAATCCCCATAAGGTTAACGGCTGATCTTTCGGCAGAAACTCTGCAAGCCAGAAGGGACTGGCAGGACATATTTAAAGTGATGAAGGAGAAAAACCTGCAACCAAGATTACTCTACTCAGCAAGGATCTCATTCAGATTTGATGGAGAAATTAAACATTTACAGACAAGCAAAAGCTGAGAGAGTTCAACACCAGCAAACCAGCTTTACAACAAATGCTAAAGGAACTTCTCTAGGCAAGAAACACAAGAGAATGAAAAGACCTACAATAACGAACACAAAACAATTAAGAAAATGGGAATAGGAACATACATATCGATAATTACCTTACAAGTAAATGGACTAAATGCTCCCACCAAAAGACACAGATTGGCTGAATGGATACAAAAACAAGACCCATATATATGCTGTCTACAAGAGACCCACTTCAGACCTAGAGACACATACAGACAGAAAGTGAGGGGATGGAAAAAGATATTCCATGCAAATGGAAACCAAAAGAAAGCTGGAGTAGCAATTCTCATATCAGATAAAATAGACTTTATAATACAGACTATTAGAAGAGACAAAGAAGGACATACATAATGATCAAGGGATAGATCCAAGAAGAAGATATAACAACTGTAAATATTTATGCACCCAACATAGGAGCACCTCAATACATAAGGCAAATACTAACAGCCATAAAAGGGGAAATCGACAGTAACACATTCATAGTAGGGGACTTTAACACCCCACTTTCACCAATGGACAGATCATCCACAATGAAAATAAATAAGGAAACACAGCTTTAAATGATACATTAAACAAGATGGACTTAATTGATATTTATAGGACATTCCATCCAAAAACAACAGAATACACATTTTTCTCTAGTGCTCATGGAACATTCTCAAGGATAGATCATATCTTGGGTCACAAATGAAGCCTTGGTAAATTTAAGAAAATTGAAATTGTATCAAGTATCGTTTCCAACCACAACGCTATGAGACTAGGTATCAATTACAGGAAAAGATCTGTAAAAAATACAAACACATGGAGGCTAAAGAATACACTACTTAATAACGAAGTGATCACTGAAGAAATCAAAGAGGAAATAAAAATTACCTAGAAACAAATGACAATGGAGACACGATGACCCAAAACCTATGGGATGCATCAAAAGCAGTTCTAAGAGGGAAGTTTATAGCAATACAAGCCCAGTTAGAAACAGGAAACATCTCAAATAAACAACCTAACCTTGCACCTAAAGCAATTAGAGAAAGAAGAACAAAAAAACCCCAAAGTTAACAGAAGGAACGAAATCATAAAACTCAGATCAGAAATCAATGAAAAAGAAACAATAGCAAAGACCAATAAAACTAAAAGCTGGTTCTTTGAGAAGATAAACAAAATTGATAAACCATTAGCCGGACTCATCAAGAAAAAAAGGGAGAAGACTCAAATCAATAGAATTAGAAATGAAAAAGGAGAAGTAACAACTGACACTGCAGAAATACAAAAGATAATGAGAGATTACTACAAGCAACTCTATGCCAATAAAATGGACAACCTGGAAGAAATGGGCAAATTCTTAGAAATGCACAACCTGCCAAGACTGAATCAGGAAGAAATAGAAAATATGAACAGACCAATCACAAGCACTGAAATTGAAACTGTGATTAAAAATCTTCCAACAAACAAAAGCCCAGGACCAGATGGCTTCACATGCAAATTCTATCAAATATTTAGAGAAAGCTAACACCTATCCTTCTCAAACTCTTCCAAAATATAGCAGAGGGAGGAACACTCCCAAACTCATTCTACGAGGCCACCATCACCTTGATACCAAAACTATACAA